CTTCCGCGAGCTCTTCCTCCTCCGCTTTGGGCCCCCGGTTCGCGGGAGCCGCCTGGCGGAGCTCGACCGCCTTCCTTTCACCTCTACGGTGCAGGACTTCGCCGACCGCTTCCAGGCCTTGGCGTGCCATGCGTCGGGCGTGACCGCGTAGCAGCGCGCCGACCTCTTTGTGGGTGGCCTTCCGGATCACATTCGCGTCGACGTGGAGCTTCGCGGACCTCAGGACCTCCAGACGGCCATGTATTACACCCGGGCCTTTGAGGCTCGCGCCCAGGCCATGCTGCCGGCCATCCCGGCCCGAGGAGGCCAGCAGACCGGCCGCCCGCCACCCGCACCAGGCCGGCCACCCCCGGCTACACCGGCGCCCACTACCTCGGCCGCGACGCGACCGTTCCATCGTCTCTCTCCGGCGGAGCAGATGGAGCGGCGGCGCCAGGGCCTCTGCTTTAACTGTGAGGAGTCCTATACGCCGACCCATGTGTGTCTGTGCCTCTTCTACTTGGAGACGGTCGACTTCACCGAGGACACCCTGGCCGACGGGGCCGCGGCACTACCACACCCAGCGGCGGCTAAGGGCGCACCCGCGGCTGCCTCGGCGACGGCCCTCGTGGTCTCTCTCCACGCACTCGCTGGGATCCGTGACGAGCGGACCATGCTCTTGCCGGTGACGATCCGCGGCGAGCACTTGGTGGCCTTGGTGGATACAGGCTCCAACCGTAACTTCCTGCCCGAGGCTACCATGCGTCGCTTAGCGCTTCAGTCGACGGGCGGGGAGCAACTTCAGGTCATAGTGGCCAACGGTGATCGCCTCCGGTGTCATGGCCTCGCACGGGACGTACCCATCACCATCGGCAAGGAACACTTCTCCATCACCTGTGCGGGCATCGACTTGGGCTGCTTCGACTTCATCCTTGGCGTCGACTTCCTGCGGACTCTTGGTCCCATTCTTTGGGACTTCGACGCGCCGACGGTGACTTTCTGGCGGCTGGGCCGCCGCGTTCGGTGGGACGGCATTGGGGGCGCCGCGCCCGCCCCGCCACTTCAGCTGGCCGCGACCACCGCCGAGGCCGAGCACCCGCTCTTGGAGAACCTTCTACAGCAGCACGGTGACCTCTTCACCGAGCCGCAGGGTCTTCCACCCGCCCGGGCGTATGATCACCGTATACATCTCCTGTCGGGCTCCGCGCCGATGGCGGTGCGTCCTTACCGCTATCCGCAGCTGCAGAAGGACGAGTTGGAGCGGCAGTGTGCACTCATGCTCGCGGCGGGCATCATCAGGCTCTTCACCTCGCCGTTTACCGCGCAAGTGCTTCTTGTCCGCAAGTCGGACGGCACATGGAGTTTCTGCATTGACTACCGTGCCCTTAATGCTGTCACCCTTAAGGGCAAATTCCCTATTCCGGTGGTCGATGAGCTCCTGGATGAGCTACACTGGGTGCGCTTCTTCACCAAGCTCGACCTCCGGTCGGGGTACCACCAGGTGCGCATGCACCCAAATGACATCGTCAAGACGGCGTTTCGGACTCACCACGGCCACTTCGAGTTCTTGGTGATGCCCTTTGGCCTCACCAGCGCCCCGGCGACCTTCCATGCTCTAATGAACGACGTCCTCCGGCCCTACTTACGTCGGTTCGTGCTCATTTTCTTTGATGATATTCTGATCTACAACGCGTCTTGGCCAAAGCACCTCCAGCACGTCACCATCGTCTTCAACGAGCTTCGGGCGCACCATCTTCATCTTAAGCGCTCGAAGTGCTCATTCGGGACGCCTTCGGTTGCCTACCTGGGCCGCGTCATCTCGGCCGACGGGGTTGCTATGGACGCCGACAAGGTGGCGGCCATCGCCGCCTGGCCGACGCCGCATTCTCCGTTGGCTCTTCGCGGTTTTCTTGGCCTCGCTGGATACTACCGGAAGTTCATCCGGGAGTTCGGCCTCATTGCTTCGCCGCTCACGCGTTTGCTGCGCCGCGACGCCTTCGCATGGGACGAGGAGGCGACGGCGGCATTTGAGGCCCTCAAGGGGGCCCTCACGACAGGGCCCGTTCTTCAGATGCCGGACTTTGACCGCCCATTCGTGGTGGACTGTGACGCCTCGGGTGCGGGGTTCGGCGCTGTGCTTCATCAGGGCGATGGTCCTCTCGCCTTCTTCAGCCGGCCCTTCGCTTCGCGCCATCTCAAGCTCGCGGCGTACGAGCGGGAGCTCATTGGCTTGGTGCAGGCGGTGCGCCATTGGCGGCCCTATCTATGGGGCCGATCTTTCCAGATTCGCACGGACCACTACAGTCTCAAGTTCTTGCTGGACCAGAGGCTCTCGACCGTGCCGCAGCACCAGTGGATTAGCAAGCTCTTCGGCTTCGACTTCTCCGTCGAGTACCGCCCGGGTCGTCTTAACACCGTGGCCGACGCCTTGTCCCGCCGCGACGCCGACCTCGACTCCACCGGCGGCGACTCCGAGGGGATGGCGCTGTGCATCCGCTCAGGGCCGACCTTCGGCCTCTCCGCCAACATTCGCCGGGCAACGGGAACCGCTGCCGACGCCGTCCTCCTTCAGCAGCAGCTGGCTGCCGGCGACCTGGAGGAGCCTTGGCGCTTCACCGACGGCCTGCTCCTCCATGGGCGCCGCGTCTTCGTACCGGCGCATGATGATCTCCGTCACCAAGTCTTGCTGCTAGCCCACTCGGTTGGCCATGAGGGTGTGCAGAAAACCCTCCATCGTCTATGCGCCGACTTCTACATTCCTGGTGATCGCGCCTTGGTCCGTGACTGGGTGCGGTCTTGCATGACGTGCCAGCGCAACAAGACGGAGACATTACGGCCGACTGGTCTGCTTCAGCCTTTGGACGTGTCGTCTCAGGTCTGGGTAGATATCTCCATGGATTTCATCGAGGGCCTTCCCAAGGTGGGCGGCAAATCGGTCATTCTCACTGTGGTCGACCACTTCTCCAAGTATGCTCACTTCATCGCGCTGGTGCATCCATATACCGCCGCGTCCGTGGCCCGTGCCTTCTTCGACGATATCGTCCGTCTTCACGGTTTTCCCTCTTCGATCGTCAGTGATCGGGACACGGTGTTCACGGGCCATGTCTGGCGCGACCTCTTCAGGATGGCGGGCGTCAAGCTCCGCTTGAGCACGGCCTTCCACCCCCAGACGGACGGCCAATTTGAGGTGGTTAACAAGGTGATTGCCATGTATTTACGCTGTCTTACAGGTGATCGCCCTCGAGCTTGGGTGGATTGGCTCGCGTGGGCGGAGTACTGCTACAACACCTCCTATCACTCCACCCTGCGTACGACACCATTTGAGGTGGTCTACGGTTGGCCGCCTCCGCCTATCTTGCGACGGCTCGGGCGGAGGCCGCGGGCGACCTTATTCGCACTCGTGACGAGATGCTTGCTGAGGTACGTCAGCGTCTACTTCAGGCCCAGCAGCTGGCCAAGCATTACTATGACGACCACCACCGCGAGGTAGAGTTCGCGGTGGGTGATTGGGTGTGGCTGGGTCTTCTCCACCGCTCTACGCAGTCACTAGACCCGCGCACGAGGCGCAAGCTCGGTCCTTGCTACGCTGGGTCCTTCGCCGTCTTGGAGCGCATCGGGTAGGTGGCCTATCGCCTTCAGCTTCCGGCCGGCGCTCGCATCCACGACGTGTTCCATGTGGGGCTGCTCAAGCCTTTTCGTGGAGAGCCACCGACGGCTCCACCCGCGCTTCCTCCGACTGCCGACTGACGTCTTCTTCCGGAGCCAGAGAAGGTGTTGAAGGCGAAGCTCCATCGCGGGGTGTGGTTCGTTTTGATCCAGTGGGCGGGCCTTCCGGTGGAGGAGGCTACTTGGGAGCCGCGTGACGACTTCCGCCACCACTATCCAGACTTTCAGCTCGAGGACGAGCTGTTTGCGCAGGCGGGGAGAGATGTTATGACCGGTTTAGCTTATAACCGGAGGAGGCCCACCGGGCAGTAGTTAGGGGCTTGGCCCACAAGTTATCTTAGGCTATTTGTTTCGAGGTTATAAATATTAGTTGTAAAACACCTTCTCGAGATTAAGCAATAAACAGAATTATTATTGCCCAGCTCCCAGAGGAGCCGGACCCCTAACCCTAGCTGCCTCACATCAGCCGCCGCCTCCCTCCTCCTCCCTCGCGACGGCGCTGGAGCTCGCGCCCTCGCCCCCGACCTCCATTGTTCTGCCCTTATAACCTAAGGAGTAGACCAGGTAGGAACCCTAGTCCTACCATAGACTCTAAAAACATCTTATAAAAAGTTATAAAGCCGGGGTAGATTAGATGTGAACCATCGAATCAAAGCCGGATAGATGAAGTGCCGCAAAGCTTCTGGCATTCTCTATGACAAGAGAGTGCCACAAAAGCTTAAAGGCAGGTTCTACAGGACGGCGGATCGACCCGCAATGTTATATGGCGTTGAGTGTTGGCCAACTAAAAGGCGACATGTTCAACAGTTAGGTGTGGCGGAGATGCGTATGTTGAGATGGATGTGTGGCCACACGAGGAAGGATCAAGTCCGGAATGATGATATACGAGATATAGTTGGGGTAGGACCAATTGAAGAGAAGCTTGTCCAACATCGTCTGAGATGGTTTGGGCATATTCAGCGCAGGCCACCAGGAGCTCCGGTGCATAGCGGACGGCTAAAGCGTGCGGAGTATGTCAAGAGAGGTCGGGGTAGACCGAATTTGACATGGGAGGAGTCCATTAATAGAGACCTCAAGGATTGGAGTATCACCAAAGAACTAGCTATAGACAAGGGTGCGTGGAAGCTTGCTATCCATGTGCCAGAGCCATGAGTTGGTCGCGAGATCTTATGGGTTTCACCTTTAGCCTACCCCAACTTGTTTGGGACTAAAGGCTTTGTTGTTGTTGTTATTGTTGTTGTTGTTGTTGTTGTACTATAATACTTAACAGCAGAAAGTCTCCAGTACTTGTCTCAAAATAATGAAACTAATCATATCAAAAGCTAGTGAGCCACAGAAGCACAAAGTATACTGACCATACATTCCAGCTCTCATACTCGCAGCATGGTTCCATAGATAACTCTGGTAACTATGTACATACCTGTGTAGAATAGTCAACACCGCTTAATCAGTAGATGTAGATGTGTAGAACTTAAGACTTCATCGTAAGTAAGAACAGAGCGGATATACAAATCGGCTCCCAAGAGCATATGCTCCAGGGGTGATAAATGACAATCTTGATGTACAAAAACTGAAAAAAAAATACATTTACATGTCCATGTCCTATATAAAACTTTTCATGAGGTAAAAGACTGGTTTTGTGGCCTGTCCCGAAAAACATATTTGACGCTTAAAAATTGCCTTTTGAGAGCACCAGGTTTTCTTTTTTTGTTAGAGCAAAATATATGTCATTTTTTCGTGAAACTTTGCAAGAAGATACAAGCCATGAACATGTGTGTTATCAAAAAAAAACATATTGCTTTTATTATTTACATATTGTTTAAGTTTTTACAGTTTGTCCAGGAGCATGTGCTCACAGGAGCCAAAATGCTGCCACCCAGAAAAGAGTAACTACTTTGCAGGCATGGTGGATTCTCTAGGAAAAAAACTCTACGGCCATCACAGATGCTATATTCCAATTTAAGATCATGAGATACACTCAAAACTTAGATCGTGCAATAGAACATACATCAGTCTCAGTGCTCTAGGTATAGCCATTAGTGCTTGTAGATAGTTGCCAGGGTACTTCTTCAAACGCTGAAGCTGAAAATGACAGAAAGCACAAATATAAGGGTTCCATTGTCAAATTAAAATGATAAAATAGAGAATAGGAAATCTATATTCCCTGTTATAATTTATTTAGTACTCCCTCCGATTCATAATAACTGTCACAGTTTTGAACTAAGGTTAATTAAAAACTGTGACACTTATTTTGGATCGGAGGGAGTAATTAATATATTTGAATAAAGAGATCAACGTAATAATTTCTAGTTTATAACCTCATCCAGAGTAAGTTGGTAAGCTTTCTCCATTTTGTAGTTACACTTTCATACAACATCTACTAAAATCAAGTCAATGTCAAATTCTGGGCACCAGATAGACAAATATATAAGCTTGCATTATCATTCTGTGACATCATCTTGCTTTCTGTTGGTCCATAGCATCACAAGTCCTCATATCACAGATTCAACATTGTGTGGGCACATCAATCTCACTTGCTACGGATAAATAGACTTTATAAGCACCAACAGAACATTACAACGATAACCAGCAAATGTGATGGGACAATAAAAATGCTCAGATGTAACGATATATAATCCAAGAGAAGGAAGACAAAATAAACTTACGATAGCCCTCTCTGCTATGAGACGCCGAGGAAAATTCCTAATTGCCACATCAATATCACCATGTTCCTTGTAATGTTCCCTCACCCCATTCATGTCATCACACTGTACGCAGCTAAGTTAAGTTGAACAAATCCGAGCACTACATATTAAAGTTTCTAGTTGTAAAACAGCAAAAATAATCAAGGATATCTCCTTCCCTTGGATCAAGAATCAAGCTAACAGCACTTCTCCACTCTCCTCTAAGCAAAGCAGCACCAACGAGATGAGTTGGTACTGAAGCACTACCAAAACGCTAGAAACACGATACAAATAAAATGTTTTACGTCAGAGACAGTGGCAAAAAAGCTTGAAGAGGTAAAAGAAATAAGAGGGTATATTTCTTGTACCTGCAGACCGTAGTAATTGATAAACCCACTTTTTATCAATCCATCAACAGCTACCTTAATCATGTCTTCTGATTCTGCGATAACACTCCTGACAGATAACAGCAATGGAAAGCGTGGATTCTCTAATCACTTTGTAGTTGAAAATAAAAACAATAAGGTCATGACGGGAATCTAAGATCATAGTACACAACAAAGGCAACAAATTATGCAATTCTTTGTAAATTGTAATCATCGTGAATTAGCGTAACATTGTGTCACGGCATATCCACCCGACTTGTGTTACAGCGTGTGTCACAGCCTGTGTGGCTGTGCACGGTTTATATTGCAGAAGGTCAAACAAATTCATTATAGCATTGATGTATAGTGCCATCACAAAGAAAACATGCACCTTAAGGTAATTGTAAATCGGTTTCCCATGAGTTGACCAAGAACAAGGCCCTCCTTTACATAACTAGAAAAAGGTAATCAGTTACTGAATTGTCAATGACATAAATCAATGTTCTGCACAGGAGATGATACACATAACCACTTACTTAAAATCTCCAACTTTAATGCCAGTGAGTTTATTATTTAGAGCAGCCAACCTACTGGCATGTACCTTGAAAAGTGTTACCTGATGAGAAGAAAGAGAATTAAAAATCATGAACCCAACAAAAACTAAAATATTTGTCTTTTGAAAAATAATCAATAGCGTCAGCTTTTTTTCTGAGAAAAATATTATACTCCCTCCGTCCCAAAATAACTGTCTCAAACTTAGTACAACTTTGTACTAGAGCTAATACAAAGTTGAGACACTTATTTTGGGACGGAGGGAGTACTTTCCATTTTGACACCATGCTTGTTATATTGAATCACAACTCATATTGTCCGAATAAATAAATGAAAGAAATTCAAAAGGTTGATATGTGCATGAATTGACAGCATAAATTACTGTGGAAAATAAGGACCTGCTGGGTTGTAATAGCACGTTTATCCTTTGTCCCTGCAATCCTAAAAGATCGTGGCTGTGGATAATACAGGTAATTTGAGGATATGTGAATACATTCAGCAACTCAAAAAGAGAAGTTGCAAATATTTTGATGAAAACAGTGGCAAACAGGCACCTGAAGCCCTAACATTTTTCCTATAACTCTTAGTGCCTCCTGGGTGTCCTTGTTTTCTTTGTAGAGATGAAACCTGTAGCATGAATTACAACCTAAATATGCGATCCTATGCATCCTTATGCATAAATACTAAAATATCATAGATTAAAAATGATGGGATGGTATGTAATGCTATCACCTGAGAAACTTCCCAAGATGATAAGGCCAGGTTATAGATCCTCTACTATCAAATGGCCTGTCATCTCTCCAGCCTGAAGGTTCAGAACTGCCTATGCCCGTCCTATTGCTCGCTTTCTCACCAACATTCCTCCGGCCACGTGGCCCTGACCTCAACCGCACCCTAATACACCTCTGGACCCCATCGCTGTGCTCAACGGTGTCCGTCACCAAGAAGATGAAGTTCCTCTTGAAGAAGTCATGAACCTCCTAGAAATGTCGAATACTTGACAAGTTCACATCCAAGTTTCCACCATAACCAATTAACCGCAATATCTGGAAAATCAAACCCACCAAGCGATGAGCCTTATCGGCGTCAGGGGAGAGAATGATCGGTGAGACATCACTATCACCCTCTGAAACCCTCGACAGAAATCCCCTTAACGCCTCACAGTCGGCGTCACCGCAGAGCAGCCGAAACGATTCCAGTGCGCGCGGGAGGTCCGCTTCGGCCTCGTCATCCGTATCTGCACGCTGCGAATGCGCACAAAGCCGAAACGATGTCATCGGAGATCAGACTCCGGTTCCTGAATCCGGAAAGCAGCAATGCGGGGGAGCAACAGGGAGCTTGAGAGACAAACCTCGTCGGGGAGGTCGAAGGAGGTGAGACGGACGAGGGTGCCGTCGCGGGCGACCTCGTGGACGATGAAGTCGGAGTAGCGCTGCTTGAGGGCGCCGCGGAAGCCGGGGAGTGAGGAGGCGAACTGGGAGATGCCGACGTCGGGCTCGGCGAGGGCGGCGCGGCGCTGGGAGGGCGGGTAGGCCACGGCGCGGGCGCGGCTGGCGAGGGGGCGGGAAGGGGGTTTTGCGAAGGAGAGGGGGGAGAGGAGGGGGGTTAGGAAGTGGCGGCAGCGCATTCGGACGCGCAGTGGGAGGATGGCCGGCGGTGGGGAGGTGATTCGGCCAGCCGCGCGCTCCGCCTCCGTTTCTGTAGGGAGAAGAGAGGCGCCGGAATTGGTGCTGGCGCTCGCGCGCACGGTAGACGGCCCGCAGCCCAATAGCGCGGTCACCGGTCCCTCGGTCGCTCCCGCCCGTTAAAAATATCTTCTTTTTCTTTTAGGTAAACTATATAGCAAAAAGGCTGGTGCGTTGCAGCGGAGAAAAAATAGCACATGTTCTTAATTTACAAAATATATTCTATAATCTGAGAATTTGTAGTTATTTCTTAAATACATGAAGAGTTAAAGAGGTTGTTAAAAAGATACAGGATATTTTATCATAAAAAGACATTTTTTTGTCTGGAAAAGAACTTTTTTTAGGTCTCATGTTGACGCAGGTACTTGCGCCCTATTTGATCACTATTTCTTGCCATACATGTCATAGGTATTGGACCCTGTTTCATCACTATTTATTTCTTATCAAACTTGTCTTTTATTTTACTTTTTGTCATACATGCCTCCTTTTTACATTTTTCATGCATGTTCTCTCTTTTTTTCTTATATATAGGAGAATAGCGCAACATCTCATCTTCATCGGATCTCCTCTGCATTTTCTCTTTTATTTATTTTTGTAGCGGACATCCCATCTTTATTTGGTCCTTTTATTTCTTGTCATGCATGTCCTTATTTATTGGTGTCTCTAACAAATTTATCTTCAATTTGATGTCCAATTCTTATTTTGCTGAGGTGTTCATTCCCAATCTGAATCAATACCGGTATGAAAAAAGACGGATAATGCATTGTTGATTAACATTGCAGTCTAGATAGTATTTTTTAAATTGTTAACAGGTAAAATAACGTCATATTTAGAATCTACATATTTTTCTAATCAAATTTCATATAAAATATGTTAAATTTGGAGTTACGTTTAAAAGATATGAGTATTTTAAAAAACATTTGATATGTACTACGGGTTTAATGTCAAAAATATTAGGGATTTTCTACAAAATAGCATGACGGACTAAGAATACCTATTTCTTTTATTAGTAGGTATAGATATAGATGTCGCCGCTTTATATTCACTTAAACGAAGTTCGGAATCTCGTCCGCGATCACATCCAGAATAAACTCTAGCGGCGATCGAAACCAAACCTTACAAAGTTCTTCTCCTACCCCTAACTTAGCTAATTTGTGCGCGGCAACATTGGCGGAACACCTAACCCACGAGACTCTAAAATCGACGAAGCTTTGTAGCATGGTCTTTATCTCCTCCAGCCACGGTTCTAAGGAAGACAGATTCTTCTGTGGAGTATTTATGGTTTGCACGAGAGACTGGCTGTCCAGCTCCATATGTACCTTTTCTACATTAATCTCCGTTGCGACCAAAAGAGCACGCTTGCATGCCATGATCTCTGCCACTTCAGGATCAGCAACCATTGGAAGAAGTGACATTTATTGGCTAGGAAGCCCCCGTCATTAACCCGGAGTACAGCTCCTCCTCCTCCCTTTTCACCATACCTTGAAATTGCACCATCTGCATAGTAGCTCTCGCATGACTGTGAGAGTTGCACATGCACGACGGCATGGTCGCACACGCACGATCACATATCTGCACACTTTCGTCGGCATAGTAACTCACACACGGTCGTGGAGTTGCACACTTTCGTCGGCATAATCGCACACACATGGCAGAGGAATTACACACTCTCGTCCGTATAGTCGCACACGCATGGCTGTAGTGTTGCACACAAATGGTGAAGTGATCTCCGTAGGGCTTCACCTAAGCAGACCGGGGGTGTAAACGGTGGAGGGGCGCCGCACACGGCTAGGCAATTGTCTAGTGTGTGCTAGGGGCGCCCCCAATAACACGGAGGTGCCAGAGGTGTACGACCTCTATGCCATGACCCATACTACCTTGTACAAGAAGGCCAAGGCATTCTCTGCATCTGACCTCGATCATCCAGAGAACTTCACCAACATCTCCTCCCACCACAAGCTCGTGAGGTACAGAGATGAGGGGAAGGCGAGGAAAGGGGAGGTCTTTAACCCGAGCTAGCATCCCTTTGATCCAGAGCTGGTGATGATATCAGGTGGCGGGAGGCCCCATGGCTCGATAGCCATTGGAGATGGACTTATACATTGTCCTCGCATTCTCCCGGAGCCCCGTTGACCAGGAGATCTAGCCATTTGACTATCGCCGGATGGGATCTAACCAATGGATGCTTCCACCTGGTTGCGTTAGGTCAGCCCACAGGAACACACCCGAACACGGTCTGGACCCAACCCACCACTAGATTCCCTCCGGTTCTACCCGACGCGCACGATTCCCCCTCCAAGTCACGACGGCAGTGCCGTCCGTGGAGGGGCTACACCCGGGAGCACCAAGACGGGCTACGCATGCCACATCACTTTTACACTTGCATGAGGACCCGTGCGATGTTTCAGTCGCATAGCTACACCCCAAAGCCCCGTTGACCAGGAGATCTAGCCCTTTGACTATCGCCGGATGGGCTTTGACCAGTGGACGCTTCGACCTGGTTGCGTTAGCCCAGCCCATAGGAACACCCCGGAACACCGTCTGGACCCAACCCACCATTGGATTCCCTCCAGTTCTACCCGGCGCGCACGTTTCCCCTTCAAGTCATGGCGGCAGTGTCGTCCATGGAGGGGGCCACACCCCGGAGCACCAAGACGGGCGTCTACGCATGCCACATCACTTCCGCACATGCATGAGGATCGCACTCGAGTGTCCATCATCACCCCTGTGTAACTTTGACCTCATCACCCACGGGTAAACTTATGACCGAAGTCATTCCACACACTTCATTTTTACAAAGCTTGTTGCCAATAAACGCACATGATTTGTCCCTCTTCTAGCCGATGTGTGGCCAAACTAGCCGGGCGGGAAGCTTGCGCGGTAAACTGCGCGGTAGCGCGGGAACAGGCTCACTGACGATAAATTTGGTGCCTCTTCGAGCCCACACGTGGTCAAACGAAACGCATGCGGTGTTTTGAGGGAATTAGATGATGTTATCTTGTTCTACTTGATGCACTACTTGGCCTAGATCAATGTTTAGACCATTTTGGCAGGTCTACCAACTTGGAGCTCATTTGGACATGTTTAGCAATGTAAAGTTGCTCAAATTAGAAAATGGACATATATGATTTTGAGGGAATTAGATGATGTTATCTTGTTCTCCTTGATGCACCACTTGGCCTGGATCAATATTTAGACCATTTTTGCTGGTGTACCAATCTGGAGCTCATTTGGACATGTTTAGCAATATAAAGTTGCTCAAACTAGAAAATGAACATATATGGTTTTGAGGCCGGTGAAAAAGTCAGGGTGCTAGCAGGGCGGCCGGGTGATAGACCATGTAAAGCATAAATTTTTGGGTTTCGATGCAACGAAGAGCCTCCTCGTTCCTCAAGAACGCTTTGCTTGCTATAAGAGACCGTTCTGGCCTGTCCTTTGCTACAAAAAGGATTTGGCTACCTTGCTGCACCTTTGTTACCGTTACTACTTGTTGCTCATTACAAATTACCTTGCTATCAAACTATCTGTTACCGATAATTTCAGTGCATGCATATAATACCTTACTGAAAACCGCTTGTCATTTCTTTATGCTCCTCGTTGAGTTCAACACTCTTACTTGTCAAGAGGACTACGATTGATCCCGTATACTTGTGAGTTATCAAGACTCTTTTCTGGCGGAGGTGCACGCACACCATGGAAAACAAGGCAAAAACACCGACGATTCGACGATCCATACACGAACCAGTACACGTACCCAGAACGGGCGGTACGGCGACACGGGAAAAAAGTGCCTGACGCCCGTCGTGGACGGAGCTGCACGCGCGCCATGGAAAACAGGGCAAAAGCACCGACGATTCCATGATCTGTACATGGACTCGTACATGTACCCAGAACAGGAGGTACAGCGACACGGGAAACAAGTGTGCGACACCCGTCGTGGACGGAGCTGCACGCGCTCCTGCTCAACTATCAGCCAAGCCAAAGAATTATACTTGCAGCCATGTGGAGTATAACCAAGAGCATATAACATAGAATTTATTTGTTTTCCTTCAGCTACTCATATGGCAACCCCTAGATCTTTTTGATATATCAACAAATTTATCAACCCAAAATTACGTGATCATAACTATCATCGAGATGGTCGTGGGTCATCAGGCTTTCAAAAGTTGGTCTAGAAAACTTGCATCAAGAAAATCTAGTCAGAGTAACTACGTATAGTTCACCATAGTAGAAGTGGTACAAGGACAATGCACACGGAGTGTCCATGATGTTGATCCACCTATTACCATGCTTCATGCTAGTATGATTTCCCCATGCGATGATCTACCCATTTATGATGAGTTTGATGATTGTCATGTGGAGTCTATTAGTTGTGATGGCATGTTACATAGGATTTCTTGTGCTAATTCTCTTGGTCACATCATGTTTGATAATCCTCTTGACTTGTCATATGTTATTCATGAGATCACCCGTATGTCATATTTGCAATCTCATCGTAGTGATCATGCACATGTCATTAAAATAAACCCAATTTGCACACATGGCATCGATGACAAGCCCATGGTTATTGGCATTTGTTTTTCTAGTGATGATATTGATATGCTCCCTTTGCATCATTTATCTCATATGCCATGCCATGATCACCTAGTTTCCAATATGCATTGTTTGTCATGTTGTCAATATTCTCTATATGATGATTCCACTATTTCTCATGAGGAGACCCCCATAGTTTTCTCATACATTTTAGGAGATTTTGATCTTATGGGCACATTCATGGCATAGTTTTTTAAAATGATCTAATATTGTGCATAAGAGTGCATCTTGGAATGGCAAACAACGTTGCCTAAGGAAGTTTTTATTTTCTTTGGACAAAAAATTCATTTTCCATTTTTCGAGTGCCCAAAATGAGTTTTTTTGTGAAGGACCCACATTATATTTGTTG